AGCTCGCCCTTAACAGCGGCCAGATCCTCTGAGGAACACCCCGCTTTATTCAACACGAGAGCCGTCTCGAAGATCCTCACCATTGCCGCCAGATCAGTGGACAACATCTTCTGTCGAGCTTCCTTGCTCGCCACCAAAATACTCTTCTCCTCATTCGGTGCCACCCCAGGATCGTTCCCCCCGAAAATAAATTCGGTCGGACACAGCAAAGGGCCAGAGCAAACACTCGCTCCGGAGAAGCTTCAGTAAGGTCGATCCGAGGCACCCCTTCCTCCCTCCGCCGCTTGGGGACCGGAGCTTGGATCAGGGACCCTGCCGCCTGCGAAGACGAGGTTTCCCCTGGAGAAGCAACGGCCAGATCCTTCCGAGCAGCAGGGGCCCGATCTTAAGTATATCGGCTTCCCCTATTCATTAGCTTCGTCACTCTCTCTTCCACCGAACCCATCGAACCTGCAAAAGGGAAACCAGAGCAATAGTCAGAACCAAAAATGGCTAAGTAAAATAAAGCAGCTTGGGCAGGCCCAAACTACCTAGGAAACGGTGGGCCTCAGCCTCTGTCCGGCACTCGAGCAATGCCCGGACATTGATGTACCGGGTCCCCGTCAGTACGTGCCCCTCGGCGTCACGAATGTACTCCCCGTCAGGGGACACACACTTCCGAGGAGGAAGACGCCCGACAAAATCTACTAGCCGGAGAAACGCCAAGCTATCCTCCTCGCCCAACCTACCAGGCCTGAAGATAAAGTTGTCCGTCCCCGACCCGAAGTGCAGGTCCTGCCAGTCGAGAGGGAAGTTAGATTCATAGTTTTCCTGAGGATTCCCGTCAACCTCGACGATTTCCTTCCGAAAAATAGTAGCATACGCCTCTTCTGTGACCGACATGACCATAAACTAGCGGTCTTTGAACCCCCGAACAGAATCAGTGTACGGCTGAAAGAGCCTGGTCTCCTGTTTTAGAGAAACCCAGCTGTGTCGGCCGGCCACCGTCTGCCGTTGCAGGTGGAAGACACAGAAAAACAAAGGAATAATGGCCCCGAGCTCGAGATAGTCGCACACAATCTCGAACGCTTGGAGGAAGGCCAGCGAATTCGGGTGGAGCTGAGACAGCGCCAGCATGAGGTGGTCGAAGACACCTTGCTGAAATTCGGTGAAGGGCATCCACATCCCCACCTCCTTGAAGGAAAATTATTACATGGAGAACTGGCCACCGTCATATCGTGAGCAAATACGGTCGGCCGCCCGGGGCAAACATGCCCGGAACTGTCGGGGGCTCCCGGCTACCCTCTCCTCGATTACAGCGAACGCATCTGAGTCGTCGTGGACGAACCTCGACGTATAATTTAGGGGTTCTTCCCCAACCCATTCTTCCAAGGGCCTCGCCTGCGGGTCCAACTCGACCTCCTCACGATCCCTTTCATCCTCGGACAAATACCACTCCAGTCCTTCCTCGGCGTGGCCGATCATATTATACCTGAAAAAGCAGAGGAACCCGGCGAATTCGACAGCTAAATCAAATCCACCCTTCCACCGCAATTCAAGTGAAAGGGCATGGTCGCCCCTACCGCCCACGAGGCAGGTCGGGTCAGGTTTTTCACCCGAGGAAGACAAAAAAATACGCCCCTTGGCCTCGGCACACACATCCGCTCGCGCCTGTGGCCTTCATCCCACCGTCCTTGGGGAATTCAAAGTTCAACTCATTTCTCCCCGGGGCACTCATCGCAAGGGCCGATGACAGACGTTTCCTACCTAATTTTGAAGGATCCTCAGGCGTATTCTCCGGAAAAACCCATAGTGCCCCCGACGGAGCCACCAAAAACACCGCCGTAACAATAGAAAACACCAAGAGGGACGAAGAAACTTACGAGTGAAAAACGCAGAAAGGTTGTTGTTGAGCAGAAACGATCAAAGCGTCGGGCAGGAAACTTGAGAGGTTAAGGAGCGGCGAAAAGCAAATGAACGAAGAAACGAGCCAGGTCAAGGTTTATATACCCCTAGCACGAGAAACGAAGCGTCGGTTGGCATTCAAGTGCCTAGGCCGTAGCCGTTTCAGGAAGACACGTGGCGACCCTCCATCTTCCATGCATCTCTTTAACTTCTCCCCTCGACCACGGGCACATCCTCGACGTAAGTTCTCCTGGTCGACACGATCGCAACCTGCCCGACTGCTACTTGTTCGACAGATCAATGGGCCCGACGCCACTCCCTGCTCAAGTCATAGCTCGCACGACTGCGAACAATGACTTGGGGGGCTACTGTTCTGGAATGGGTCGACGCTTAGCTCACAAAAAGCAGACCCAAGCCCCAATGAAGTTGGGCCCAAGAATACCACGCTAACGGGCAGAATCCCCGTCGAACAGGACACCTCCTTGTCGGGCACAGGCCAACATCCGTCGAGCAGGACCCTCGATTCCGATCAGCCAGTCTGCCTCTTCCCCTTCGTCGGGCAGGACCCTTGCATCCGACCAGCCACCTCTGTCTGTCCGAGTGACTCCTTGAGCCTCCCCCCCACGTTCTCCACGTGTCCCTCACGCAGGGACACGTCATAACGTAACTACCCACTTCCTGGAGATTTGGTCTTCCTCCTCCTAGATAGTGCGGAACAATTATCCTAGGGCGAAGACCACGTCCTGGTCTTCACGACGCCACGTCAGCCCTAGCAGTTACTAACATTGAACCTGGCAGCCCAGCCCAGTGTTAGGTAACCATTGGCCCTGCGCTGAGGGCACACTATAAATACCCTCTTCACTAGAGGGTCAGGTAACTTAACTTTTTTACTCTCTCTCTGTACTTGTTTCCACTCTGCTCGTCATTTACTTTGGCATCGAAGTGTGTTTCAGGTACACCCCCTCCTCTTCTACACTTTGGGTGAACAGCTTCCAGATCGACGACACGTAGCAGATCATCGATCCCCTTCTGGTCAGATACGATCAAATAATAATGAAGAGTTTTGATTACTCATTGACAATAACAACTAGAATTTTGCTCCTCTTTAAATGTAATCAATTATTGAGTCCGTCCATCTAGAATTTTGCTCTAATTTTAAACGAGACTCATTAATTGATGATAAAATTAATTCTCTTAAATTAATCAATCATAAGATCGGATTCTAAGATTTAAAAAAAAGTTACTTTTTATTTTCTGTTTTCTCTTCAGATGCCATTTTGGTCATTTTGTTGGTGTGGATAAATGAAGAGACTCTTGTTGCATGTGTTGTAGGAAATATTTATTCTGAGTTGACATTCAAACCATGAATACTACATTTTCTAATGTGGGTATGTATATCATCAATTTATCATGCATTATGCTTGATCTTTGAAACTGAGGGAGTGTTTATTTTGCAGAATCTAATTCAAACATTAGGTAGTAATTTATGATGTGGTTGGCCTACTTACTCAGCATACTAGTAGTACCCGTAGTAAATGCCAACCTCCACCTACCCATTGTAGGATAGAACCTCCATAGACCATCAATTTTTGTGTGTTGATAATACTAATAACTTTTTTAAAAGTATTTATTAAGCAACTAAAATGTTTAAACTTTTTTTTTTATGCAAAATAATATAATTATATTTTGATAATAGTTTAACTTATATAAGATTACTAAGACCTTTTTTTTTTGCTCAATTCATTTTAAATTGATGTAAACTGCATGCAAAAAAATATCTCCCAAAATAATTAATTTTTTTTTAAATTTTAATATAACATTAATTATTTTTTTTTAATTATATCATTAATCAATACTATTGTATAGTTTTCAATTGAATAAGTTCAATTTGCATTTATGCTAAAAGTATAGTATACACTAATATATGATAATAATATTTTAGAAAATCATACTAATTTCTTTTTCATTTATATAATAAGTGTGAAATTGCCAATTAAAATATATATTTAAAAAAAATAAAGTAATAGATTTTTTAAATGATATTCCCTTCGATCACAATAATAATGTCAATTTACTTATAATATTTATCGGAGAAAATATCCTTAATTAAAACAATTCTTTTTTCTTTACTGAAATGAAATTGATGGAAAAAAACATTAATGACGGTGCTATTTGTAAGACCAAACTTACTCTAAACTTTAACAATCAAGTCTATATCATTACTTAATTATTAGGATTAGAAATTGACTATGTCCAGACTTTATAATCTCACAATAAATTTTTGTATAATTTTAATTATTTTTTTATTTCACTTTTTAATTAATAATATTTTTATTATTCTCAACTTAAGGTGCGTATATTTGGCCCCGTTTTTTTAGTTCAAATGCTATCTTAAAATTAAATTTAAAAGTAAAATTAAAGTTGTTTGATAATTAACTTTTTGTATATTTAGATTTTTTAAAGGGAAGTTCTTGAAGATGCTCGTTTAGAGTTTGGTAATCATGGATAAAAGAGGTGTCGGTCAGTCGAAGAAATCGGCAGAGATGCGTAAGAAGGGAGCGGAAAGAATGATCATAACACAAGCAGTTGTAGAATAGATTCATAAAGGTGACCCTCATGCCCAACACTCTTTTTGGGTTTGGTGCGTGGATTTAAATGGTGGGCTGCCCAAGGTCTGGCCTAACACAACCTGGTAAGGTGAGGGGTGCCACTCTATATAAACTATTTCAATGCTCTATCTCCAACTAATATGGGACTTTTAGGATCTTCCTAATACACCCCCCCCCCCCACGCCCAACATTCTTTTTGAGCTTGGTGCGTGGATTTAAACGGTGGGCTGCCCAAGGTCCGACTGATAGGCTCTGATACCATATTAGAGTTTGGCCTAACACAACCTTACAAAACCGGTTGGTAAGGTGAGGGGTGCCACTCTATATAAACTATTTCAATGCTCTATCTCCAACCAATGTGGGACTTTAGGATCTTTCTAATACTGAGTGAAGATCCAACCCCAAAGGAGAGATAATTGAGCAGAAGAATCACCGACGAGGGAAGACGAAGTGCAACCTAAGTCCAGGGTGGATATAATTCCAGGAAATAGAAGTTTGAATCGAGGAATGATGGTGGAATTTGTGGCTCCAAAGATCGTGAATGGTGAAATCGAAATTGTGATTGAGGAATCATATGTTGTTGAAGAACTGGAATTCTTGGAACACTCGATAATTCTATTTGCGTTGGGAGAATCTCTATTGATGAATGTCGTGAAGAAATTCATGGAGAAAACATGGAATTTTGTTTCGTTACCAGACCTCTATTATAATGATGAAGGGTATCGTGAGATTTAAGAACAATGAAGATAAGGAGAATGTTATGACACAAAGACCTTAATTTATCTATGGAAAGCCTCTATTCATTAGACATTGGACAATAAATTTTGAAATGAAGGAAGATCTTCTACGTGTCCTGCCCCTTTGAATAATAATGCCAAACCTACATCTGCATCTTTGGGGGAAATGAGTATATCGAAGATTGTTAGTGTTGTTGGAAAACCAATCACTACAGATGAATGCACAACCAAAAAGCTTTGTATTTCATATGCCCGAGTTTTGGTTGAAGTTGACATCACACAGAAGCCAAGAGAGACAGTTTGTATCAAAGATCACAATGGCAAAGCTATGGAGCAAAAAATTAAATATGAATGAAAACCTAGCTATTGCCAAACCTGCCTGAAAAATAGGATATGAATGTGCTTTAAAGAAGCATACCATGAAGAAACCTTAACCAACAAAGATTTGAAAACCCGTTGCTAGTAAACCAAACTTGGAGGACCATAAAGAAGAAGTACACCCTAAGCCAAATGAGGAGGGAAACAACAATAATAAGGAGGGTGAAAAGGAAAGAAATCTAAATTTACTTAAAGAGGACTAGACAATGGTGACTTCAGGAAGAATGGATAAAGGGGAAAAATCTTTGATTGATACTCCAAAGATCTCATTTATGGCATACCAAAATGTATTTACTCCCATAAGGATGGAGACAGTCTTATGGGGGAGGCCAGCCATGCCCAATGATTGTAACTTGGAAGATGAGGGGCTTAAATAAATAGGCCAGACATAGAGAGGTTAGCTCATATCTCTCTAACTTTAATATTCTTATCATTGCCTTGCTTGAGACTAGAGTTAAGCATCACAATGCTAATAAAATTAGAAATAAATTAGGGAATAATTGGAAGTATGCTGACAACTATGATAACCATGGTAATGGAAGGATTCAACTTATATGGAACCAAAGGGAAGTGGAAGTTAAGGTCAGGCAAACAACTGATTAATTTCTTCATGTAGAGGTTTATGGCTTGGACCAAAACCTTCATTACTTGGTAACTGTCATATATGCATTCACTAGATTGAAAAGAGGAAAATCTTGTGGAATGATATTGAAAATTTAGGCACCAATATGAACAAGCCTTGGATTGTTATGGGAGATTTCAGTAATGCCATAACTAGCCAGGATATAATAGGGGGAACAATGTGATTGAGGATGAATGTAGAGATCTAGCCAATATGATGCACAATGTTGGTCTGTTTGAAGCTAATACTAAAGGTAACCACTTTACTTGGTCAAATAAACTGTAGAAATATACTTTATATTTCCTTGTATTTGATGAGAATTGCATAGCAGTATTTATATAATACATAAGGTAGAATTTGAAAGGGAAATCTGTCCTAAAAATCAGGGGAGTTAATTTTCCCATATATGATAATTCTAATTACAGTAAAAACAGGAAATAATAACTTATTAATTACATTAGTCCTAATCCTAATGAGTTGTACAAACATAATCATTTGATTCTGTATTGATTATTCCACACTCCCCCTCAATCTGGTTGGTAGATGTCTATCATACCCAGATTGGATCTAATATTCTCGTATATGTTCCTTGGAAGGGCTTTTGTTAGAATATCTGCAGTTTGATGGCATGATGGAATATGGTTAACACATATAATTCCATGATCAATTTTCTCCTTGATGAAGTGTCGGTCTATCTCTACATGCTTTGTTATATCATGCTGAACTGGGTTCTTCGCAATGCTTATAGCAACCTTGTTATCACATAATATCTTCATAGGATGTTTGGTAGGAATTTTGATTTCACCTAGCATTCGCTTAAGCCAAATTCCTTCACAAATACCTTGTGACATAGCTCTGAATTATGCTTCTGCGCTACTCTTAGCCACAACAGACTGTTTCTTGCTTCTCCAAGTTACCATATTACCCCATACAAATGTGCCATAGCTTGTAGTCGATTTCCTGTCAGATAAACATCCTGCCCAATCTGAATCAGTGTAGACTTCAATACCTTTGTTTGAGTTCTTTTGAAAATAGAGTCCTCGACCTGGCGTACCTTTTAGGTACTGGAGAATTCTGTTAACATTTCTCATGTTAGTTTCAGTTGGATTTTACATATAACGACTAGCCATGCTTACAGCAAAACCAATGTTTGGTCTGGTGTGAGTTAGATAGATTAGTTTTCCAACTAGACTTTGGTATCTATCTTTATTAGCTGGTATATTCTCATCTTCACTCCTTTTTATTTGTTCTATGGGAGTATTGGCAGCTTTGCATCTAAGCATACCTGTTTCTTGAAGTAAATCCAAAGTGTACTTCCTTTGAGAAACTGAAATACCATTCTTTGTCCGTGCAATTTCCATCCCTAGAACATACTTGAGCTGTCCTAAGTCTTTGACTTCAAATTCTTTGGCTATAAGTCTCTTTAACTGGTTAACTTGTTCATCATCATCTCCCGTAATTACGATATCATCAACATAGACAATAAACAAAGCTATCTTCCCATCCAAAGAGTGCTTGACAAATATAGTATGGTCTGTTTGACATTGAACAAAACCATCTTGCTTGATAACTTTTGTTAGTCTGTCAAACCATGCCCTTGGTGATTGTTTGAGGCCATATAGAGATTTTCGAAGTCGACACACCATGTTGGAGGTCCTGGGTAATTCAAGTCCTGGAGGAATTTTCATATATACCTCTTCTTCTAACTCACCATTTAGAAATTCATTATTTATGTCTAGTTGGTACAGGGGCCTATCTAGATTTGCTTCCAGAGATAGTAGAACCCGAACAGAATTAAGTTTCGCAACAGGTGCAAAAGTCTCCTCATAATCCACCCCATATGATTTTGTGAACCCCTTAACAACCAACCAAGCTTTGTACCTATTTATACTCCCATCAACATTGTACTTAATTAAAAATATCCACTTGCATCCTACTGCTTTCTTCCCTTCTGGTATAGCGGTGATCTCCCATGTGCCACTTCTTACAAGTGCTTGAACTTCTTCTGTTACAGCTGCTGCCCATTCAACTTTATACAATGCTTCTTGAATATTATTTGGAATTTTTATGTTGTCAACAACTGCTACAAAGGACCTATAACTTTGTGATAGTTTTTCATAGGAGATATATTTTTCAATAGGGTGTTTGGTGCATGTTCTAACCCCTTTTCTAATAGCAATAGGAATATCCATATCTGCTGTATTTGTAACAATATGTTCAGAGTTAGGGAGAATATTACCGGTGGGAAATTCATTTTCTAGAGCTCGGTTGGACTCATGGCCTTGCATTGGAGCTATACTTGACTCTACTTCTTTCCTCCTCCTTTTATAAACCTTCTAATTACCTGTTTTTGGATCACAATTCTGTTGAGGTGTGGTTGAGACTATAATTGGTCCGGTTTCCGTCACATCTTCTGTTGTCCTTTCACTCGGCTGAATGTTAGAGGTTTGGTTTAGTAATTTTTCAGCTGGTTTAGGCATAGGTTCGGCTGATTGAGTGTTACCGGTTTGGTTTGGTAAGATTTTTCCATGTTCGGTTAGTTCAAGAGGCAAAAGTTGGTATTCTAAATTTTCAATATGATGTATGTATGATTGCTCCCCCTGAATACCAGTTTTGGTGTAATATGGTTGATTTTCAAAGAAGGTTACATCCATAGTTTGGTAAAAATTTTGGTATGGGGAGAGTAACACCTATAACCCTTTTGGTGAGGAGAGTAACCAAGAAAAATACATTTGATGGGTTTTGGGTCCAATTTGCTTCGATGAGGGTTGAGGTTATGGACAAAAGTTGAGCATCCAAATATTTTTAATGGAATAGAGGAAAAGATTTTGCTGGTTGGAAATAGGTTTTGAAGTGTGGAGAGTGGGGTCTTAAAGTTAAGGATACGGGAAGGCATTCGATTTATAAGGTGAGTTGTCGAAAGGACATCTTCTCCCCAAAAGTGTTGTGGGACATTTGTGGCCAACATGATTGATCTAGTCACTTCCAAAAGGTGTCTATTCTTCCTTTTTGCTACTCCATTTTGTTGGGGAGTGTCCACACACGAACTTTGGTGAATAATTCCAACCTTTTGAAGATAGGAATTTAGAGCAAGGTTGTAATACTCACGACCATTGTCAGTTCTAAGTATCTGAATATTGCTTTGAAATCGTGTTTGTACCATCTTATGATAAATTTCAAATATTCTCCCTACTTCTGATTTTTCCTTCATTAGAAACACCCATGTAACACGTGTGATCATCAATAAAGGTGACAAACCATCTCGAGCCAGTAATGTTGTGGACTCATGATGGTCCACATACATCACTATGAATTAATGAAAAGGTTTGGATGGTTTATAGGATTGGGGTGGGTAATGGTTTCGGGTATGTTTAGACAATTGACAGATTTCACATTGAAAATGTTCCTTGTTTTTATTGAATAACGAGGGAAAAATCTTTTCCAAGTACATGAAATTTGGGTGGCCTAATCTATAGTGCCACATCATTACAGAATTATTATCATTTGAAACTGCAGCTGCAACATGATAGTTATTTGAGTTTTTTCTCTGATTTTTCCATTTGGAGGAAGTAGAGTCCAACACACTCTTCAGAATTGCCAATCATCTTCCCCAACTCCAAAATCTGAAATTCACACAAGTTAGGGAAGAATTTAGTAACACATTTCAAATCTCTTGTAATCTTGCTAATGGACAGCAAGTTATAATCAAGTGTAGGCACATACAAAACAGAGTCAAGAGTAATATTTGGTGAAATTATAATTGATCCTTTACCTATGACCTTAGAATGTGTACCATCGGCTATTTGAACATTATAGTTATAGGGACATGGAGAATAACTATTAAACAGGGTGAAATCTCCAGTCATGTGATCTGAAGCCCCCGAGTCAACAATCCATGATTTTGTTTTTTCTTTACTAGTGTTTAGAGCATGTAAATAATTACCTCTTTGAGCCACTACAGCAGTACCACCTTTTTTTACGGTTAACATAGTTTGCTG